TCTCGAATTTCAAGGTCTAAGAGAGTACAAGGTGAATAAAAAATGAAATAAAAATGTGTGTAAAAAATCAAATAGCAACTGAAATGAGTCAGAGGGTGACGCAGCGAGAGTGAAAATCCCGACGCTGAAGGAATATGGGCCGAGGATATGTATTAAGTTCTGTATCCGTATGACGCAAAAAAGGAATGGTGAAAACACACACACACACACACACACACACACACACACACACACACACACACACACACACACACACACACACACACACACACACACACACACACACACACACACACCTGTACACTTAACTACGTCCACGCAATAAAGTAAACGCAAATACAAAACCACGCCCGCACAGGCACACACACACAAAACACATCTTTCTTTTCGCCAATAGAAAGAAGCCTAACTTGCGATGAAAACACACGATTTTTGTAAGTTCAGATCTACTAATTATTCCTAAATTAACTATTCCCTCTTTGGCATGTAACTTCTGCATTCCACACCATCCATTCCTTGTTACAGCCATTACAAAAAGGCAATGGGTGATCGCATTTACAACAACCGAAATGCAAAATAAAAATGAATTAAAATCGAATAAGACCATAATAATCGAAACAAAGGCCGACCGAATAAATTATATTTTCCTTGTAACAGAAAAAAAATGAAGAAAAAAGGAGTAAAAAAATAATCAATACTAATAACATTAAAAAATAGTAAAATAATATAAATACCATTATCAATAACAATTACAACCACAGCAACAATCGCAATAATCGCAACAACAAAAACAACTATAATAAAATAAAATAAAAAAACGCAACTTATCCACGCCCATCACGGCCTCACAAAGCCTCGGCCACCCAGGATAGTCCGAACACCGCCGCTCCGTTTTCGTGCACGCTTTAGAACACTCAGATGGAAAAAAAAAACGGAAAAAATAAGAAAAAAAATAAGAGGGGGGGTGAGGAGAAACTCCCTCAAGTTCAGCTTAAAGGAGATATGTAGTAACAAGCTTTCTCCTTCTCTTTCTCCACCTACACCGCCTCCTCCTCCTCCTCCTCTTCCTCCTCCTCCCTCTTCTTTTTTGTTTTTTTCTGTTGCGGTTTCTTTCATTCTTCTCCTTCTCCTCCTTTTCAACTTTTTCCTCTTTTCCTTCTCTAACTCCTGATCCTGCTCTTACTCTTACTCCTGCTTCTACTCCCTCTCTTTCTTCTCATCTTCATCCTCAACCTCCTTCCTCTCCTCTCCTCCTCCTCCTCCTTCACCTTCCTCTCTTACTCCTCCAGGAGTGCTTCCTTCTCACTTCAGAAATTTAATAAAATGCAGTAATTCTTCACTGCGTCTTTTTCCTTGTCGCGGGTTTTGGCGTATTCCAAGCGAATTTGAGAGACAAGGAAATGCTAAGAAAAGCAGAGAAGGAGGAGGAGGAGAGAGGAGGAGGAGAGAATGAAGAGGAAGAGAGGAGGAAGAAAAGAGAAAGGAGGAATTGAAGGAAGAAGAGGAGGAGGAGAAGACGGAGGAAGAGAAGGCGGAGAAGAATGAGGAGGAGGAGGAGCAGGAGAGGGGAGAGGGGAGGAGGAGGAGGCCTTCAAAAAAGAAAAAAAATGAATATGAAAATAACCCGGTAAATTGAAAAAGACAAAAAACAAAATAGGAACAAAAGATCCAAATTAAGGCCAAGAGGGGGGGGGGAGCAAGGCAAAAGGTGCGACACAAAGTATGCGTGTATCATATACAAGACTACACTTCAAAATATTTCTAATGAAATTCATATTCAACTTTCAACGCAGATAATACCACAGTATACATCCGAGACGATAAAAACTACCCATGAGCTCAAGTTTCACTACAAAAGTTTTTTTTAGATGTAAATTCAGAAGCATTTTTCGTCATTATCTTCTTGACTGCCTACAACACTCACTCAAAAGACAAGACAAATGGAAAGGTCAAGTCGAGAAGGCCCAAGATTTTTCTCTCTTTTCTTGCGTAAATCTCTATATCTTCCAAACTCTCACTTATAAGACGTCCAATATCTATTTCAATCACATAACGAGTCGTAAAGCTGACAAACGAAAGAGCCCACTTAAAAATATATATTTTTATATCTTTATTACGAAAACCTTCGAAAGCATCGATTATGAGACCGACTTCAAAATTCCAAATTCCTTTAAAGAAGTTCAATATTTTCGGTCATATACAGACAGATTTTAAAAAATTTAAAAATACGAGTTACACATCGGATTATTGATGAAACGTCAGTATATTACATCTTACATCGGCCTGCCAGTTGCAAGGGCGGTGATGGGTTTAGTGTTTACAGAGTTCATATATAAAATCGACAAACACCTCTTATTTCGGAAGTAAAAACATTAACAAATATTAACGAACATGTCTAAACTTTCTAACACCCCCCCCTCACAAAAGAAAGAGAAAAAGAAAAAAATGCAAATCAATTAAGACTGATACAATATTTCAATAAGAACACGAACAAAAATAAACTAAAAAAAAATACAAACACACACTCGCTCCTCTTATCAATATTCCTCAAGGATCCTCCTCTTCCATTTCTATTTCCAGCTTCCCTGCTCTATCTCGGATCCAGGGCGCGCTCTATCTCAGCGCCCCGCTTCTTCTCATCTTTGCCCCATCCCCCCCTTTTCTTGGCCTCTGCTCCCGTTCCCTCCTTTTCTCATGTCTCTTAAACCCGAGGTGAATTCCCAAACGCGTGCGAGGTCCGTTGTGCAAAGGCGGTGTTGGCGTTTTACTCAAGGCAGGTCTTCTGGGAATCTTAATTATCGTCCGCTATTCCCATCATATCAACCTCCTATTACGACAGCTGGGCCATCGACACCGAGCGCAAATCCACGAAAAAAAGAAACAAAGAGTTGGAATTCAGATCAAAGCAGCCGTGACATTTAGCAGAAGAATACGGAAGAGAGAGAGAGAGAGACAGCGTACCATGACAAACACATTTCGATCGAGAGGAATAAAGCCGCAACAATACAATATCAATAAATTGTGACGTTTCGGATCCAATCTGGTTTCCTCTTCAGGCGAGGTAATTCACTTTTTATTGTCTCGTCTGAAAAGAGTCCTGATTGGACCCGAAACGTTACATTTTTTTCTTACTTCGGCCATTTCTTTTTCTTTTATCTTCCTTTCCTTAATGTGAATGGTTCATATCATTTGTTACCGTGTTACCGTACCGTTTTTCTGTCTTTATTCACGTCTGAAAGGATAACAGCAAAGCCATTATTAGAGGCAGACGGATTAATAATTCGCACCTCTACCATACCATGAAGATTATAATACCAGATAATTTACATAACACAATACTTTCGCTATCATTCTCTAACATCCGTTCTAGAATTTCCCTGATTGCATGTCAGATTCATATATCACCAGAATAAAGCACTGTCTCGAAAAACGGCTATGGTGTTACGGTGCCTCATGTGCATATTTCCTCCATAAAACGCGATGCAAGAACACTTATTTGTGAAGTTATAACGTGCTTGTAGCTAACTGAAGCTTCAAGTAATTACACAAAGGTAATATGGAAGCAGCATTTCTTGGATGAAACTCTTGCTGATAATCCCTTTTGTCCAAATTTGGGCGTTCCGTGCACTGCCAGAACGGAAGCTGCCTCTTCTTTATGAAAATAACTTGAGTCTGGCGGGGAGGCTGCAGAATATAATGGTCACTAGATTTTTTTTTAATCAAGCGAAAAGAAAAGTTTTCTTTTTGTACGTGCAAAGATCTCTCTTTTTCTTCTCTATTTTTCTCCCCCCGTCTTCTCTCTCAAATTGTGTTTGTGTTTGTGTGTGTTGTTGTGTGTGTGTGTGTGTGTGTGTGGTGTGTGTGTTGTGGTGTTGTGTGTGTGTGTGTGTGTGTGTTGTGCGCGGCGCGCGCGCATCTGTGCGTCCCGCGTTTTGAGGAAGGGCAAGTTATTTTTTTTCGAGTTCTTTTTGTATATAATGTTTTTGTACTGTTTTTCTTATCCATTCCGGTTTTTTAAAGTTTCCGAATAGAGCGTTCTTCCATGTCACGCTTTTTTTTCTTCTTTTTCGGACATTCTCCATATCTCTAAAGGTCCTTCGAGAAGTCTTCTACAACGAACAGTAGAACGCTAATGTTATCCGCCTTCTTATAATTCAAGACACCACAGTGGACTTAATATTATGAAAAAACAAACACTCAACCTTCCCTCACTTTCACCTCACTAAACCCTATCTTACGTATCAAGCTACAAATCAGAATTACCAAACTCATATCACAAATTAAACTCACAATGACGCAAGCCCTCCTGGCGCCCATGAAAGCAGCAACAATAACGAGCATGATAACGCCATGAAAGACGATAAGAATAATATCATCTAAAATATGATAATGAACGAAAAGCAGTGAGACCAACTACGTCCGCGATCGCTCAACGACAGCGTGGGCAGACACTTCCCGGTCACGAGAGAAAGAAAGAAGAGAAGTTAAAGTAGGCTCGCATAAGAAAAAGAGGGGAGAGGAAGAGACATAGATAGATAGAAGAGGGAGAGGTAAGATAGATAGATAGATAGATAGATATAGATAGATAGATAGATGATAGATAAAGATAGATAGAAGATAGATAGATAGATAGATAGATAAATAGATAGAAGATAGATAGAGAGATAGATAGATAGACACACACACACACAGAGAGAGAGAGAGAGAGAGAGAGAGAGAGAGAGGAAGAGAGAGAGAGAGAAGAGAGAGAGAGAGAGAGGAGAGGAGAAGAGAGAGAGAGAAAGGTGGGGGAGGGGGAAAAGGAACTCGCAATAAATAGAAAGAAAGGAAACGAGTACGAAAGAGAAAGAGAAGAGAGAGATCGCAACATCTTGCACGCACACCACTTGGAACATACTAAGCACATTGCCGTCAAGGCTGCACATCTCAAGGTCGAATGCAAAGAGCGCAGCACAAAACCGTTAGACGAATTTACGCCACAAGACCCTTTCTAATAGACACTACGTTGTCAAAGCTCTGTAGAAGTCAATCAATCAAATCAATCAACCGAGAAAACTGTCAATCACCCACTGTCATCACGCAGCTACGTTCCATCACTTGTTTTTTTTCTCGTTTATAATATCTGTCATCACCCAATCCACTTGATAAAATTTGTATCATCCTTTCAATATGTATCATGACAAGTATCATCATCTACGTCCGGTCAAAACCACCATCATCATCACCCATTCATCACCTTGGCAAAGAAATGGACATCACAAGGACTCCAGGGACACCATATGCATCATCCTGGGCATCACAAGACTATAAGAATTAGTAATGAGGGCAAACAGCGGTTGCAATCACATCACCACCATGATAATCAACATCTCGAAAGCAGGTGTCAAAGACGGCGAACAATAATGTTGGTAAATAACAACAATATTAATAGTAAAACTATATAAATATCAATAATAAATGATGATGATTGATGAGAAATGATTGCTGACGACAATGACGACGACGGCGATAGCACCAGCAGCAACAACAACACAAAAAATAATAATGATAACAATAAATAATAATAATAATAATAAATAATAATAATAATAATAAATAATAATAATAATAATAATAATAAAATAAATAATAATAATAATAAAATAATAATAATAATAATAATAATATTGATAAACATCCCACGAGCTCTACACCGTTCCCCAAGCCATCCACATCCGGGACCTGATCACCGGCGATCCCCTGCAGGAATTTTCGGCCCGAGAGAGGCAAAGCGCAAGGGACGAAAAGGAGAAAAAAGGGGGGAAAAGAGGCAGGAAAAAGAGGCAGAAAAAAGCAGGAAGGCAGCAAGAAAAAGGGGCAGGGAAATGCGGCGTCTGCAAAGTCATAGAACATTCCACACAGGCAACCTCCAAATTCCTGCCGCGCTTCATATCGAGCTCCAAGCCCTCGCTCCCTTTTTTGAGCCGCCATTCCGCGCTTCGGGTGAGAAAGAGGGTGCGAACTTCGGCCGTTTTCGATTCTTTATACTTATCAATATAAAAGCTATAGATATAAAATGCGAATATAAATCAATGAACTACATACGTCAACTTTTATAGATATAACATAAGAATATAATTCAAAATAAATGTCAACTTTTAAACACATAAACTAAGAATAGAAGTCAGCAAAACAAAGATTTCAATCTTTATTATATATATATAATATATATAATAATAATTATATTATATATATATATTATAAATAAAAAAAGATAAAATAATAATTTCTTTCTTTATACATATAAAATAAGAATATAGATCAGTAAAATGAATATTTTATCTTTTATATATATAAGAAATAAAATATACTAATAAGAATATTCAGTCTTTATGCATATATAAATTAAGTATAATCAAAATAATACTACAATCTTTATACACATCAAATAAGGATATGAATCCATAAACAAATAAATATTCCAAATTCTATACTTATCAATAAGAATATAAATGAATAAACAAATAAATATTTCATTCTTTTACACACAAACGAGAATATGACAAAATAATCAAACAAATAAATAAATCCAACATTCAACTTGCGCAAGGAGAATTAAAACACAACAGTGTTTGGTGACACGCTAACAAACAGCTGACCTGTGAGTGCCTCGAGGAGATGACACTGGGCGAGACACACGAGGTCACTCCAAGGGGCATCGGAACAAGGTCTACATAAGTAAGCCTACTTATATGGACCTTGATCATTCTTTATTTTCCTCCCTCCCTCCCTCCTTCCTCCTCCACTCCCCTCTCTCTCTCTATCTTCTATCCTTTGATCTATTTCCTATGGCCTCTCTCGCTCCTTTTTCTCTCGCTATATCCTTACCTTTAACCATCTCTTCCATTCCCCTTTTCTCTCCTCTCCTTCTCCCTTTCCCTTACTTCTCCCTTCTCCCTCCCCCTCCTCCTTTCCCTCCTATTTCTCCCCTCTCCCTCTCCCTCCTCCTCTCCCCCCCACACTCAACGTTTAACCCGCCCAACACCCAAGATATTGGCAACAACAGTGCGCGATACTGTTTAGTGAGGAGTTCTAATATGCGTCTAAATATAAACAACGATGAACGAGCACAATATAACGCTGTTTTGCAAGCATCATCCTACTGGCTTTCCAAAAGCATTCGACTGGCTGACAGCATGAGAGAACAGAGGAGAGAGAGTAAGGGAAGTAGAGGAGTTGGAGGGAGGAGGGAGGGAGGGAGGAAGGGAGAGAGAAATGAGATAGGGGAGAGAGTGAGAGAGGGAGAGCTTGATATATATATATAGATAGAAGAGGGAGAAGAAAGGAGAGAGGAGGAGTGGAGTGAGAGGAGAAGGAGTGAGAGAGAGAGAGAGAGAGGGAGAGAGGAGTGAGAGGGAGAGAGATGAGAGAGGAGTGAAAGAGAGAGAGAGATGAGGAGTGAATGAGAGAGAGAAGGAGAGAGAGAGAGAGAGAAGGAGAGAGAGAGAAGAGAAGAGAGAGAGAGAGAGAGAGAGAGAAAGAGAGAGAGAGAGAGAACAACATAATGAGAGGAAAAACCAATCGGCATCCGAGACTCCAATGACCCATAAGTCCAAAAGAAACACGGGAAAACTCACCACAATGGAATGGGACCGCGCCTATGCGGGCCACAGCAAGCATGGCCACCACCAGTTCCTTGATCATGGGCATGTAGATGGCCACCTTGTCGCCCTTGGCCACACCCTTGGACTTCAGGTAGTTGGCCAGGCGACATACTTCCTTCAGCAGGTCAGCGTAGGTCACTTCCTCGGCATCGGCAGGGTCATTGCCTACCCTGGGAAGAGGCAAAGGAAAACAGGTGAAATTCGTTGCCACGTAAGATAAGGCTTATCTAGTAGTACTGATTCAACATAGCAAGGAAAAGATTGATGATGATGATGATGAAGACGAAGAGGATGATCGTGAAGAGGAGGATAATGAAGGGAAAAAAAGAACAATTGGATCCCAGGTTCCAAAGAAACGACAAATATTATCAAGAATTTGAAACCTGAGCGAGGTTTTGCCGCGAGCTACTTTTATATCTTTTTCAAAAAATGATTTTTGATAAGGAAGAATGGATTATGGTCCACCGATAAAACGATAAGGGTGTTCTTCCCTTTCCCAGAAATCCACTGCAATTGTCTAGGCTAATACGTGGAATTAAAACGTTACACACACATAGGTGTGTGTGCACTTGCGTACCCTACGTACATACATATACATTTACATACAAACACATGCACACATCTATAATACATACATATATACATATATATATATATATTATATATATATATATATATACACACACAAACATGTATATATATACATATACATATATAACACTATATTATATATATATATATATATATATATATATATATAATATATATATGAATTTATGTATGTATGTCTGCGAGGTATATGTATGCATGTATGTAGTATATGACGAAAATGTAGTATATATATATATATATTATATATATATATATATATATGTATATGTATTGATGTAGGTCTGGAGGTATATGTATGCATGCATGTAGGTATATGTACGAAAGCATGAATGTATATAAACGTATACATGACACGTTATATATATGGTTATGTATATTATGTATATGCATATATTTATGTATATACATATATATGTATATGTGTATACGTATGTGTATGTATGTATGCACATATATGTATGAATATAAAAATATGCATTTATGTACATGTGTCTGTAAGTGTGTGTACATTTTCATGTGTATCTGTATACGTGTGGCAGATGCATGTGTATACGTAGGCGCTGTGTGCGTTCGTTAATGTAGACACGTGTGCGTATAGACATGCAAAAAACGGCGAGGGAATCCCTTGACGTCACGAGATGCCCGCCGCGCGCTGCCCCCTCGGCCGCCGAAAAGCGCTAAAGCTAAACTCCAATTCATGGCCAATGGGACTGAATGCCGCCACTGAATGTGCACGCTAACATTCATATTGACGAGGCAGCGCTGACGTCACTGACTGTGCAACTTGCCCGTGGTAAAGGAAAGTGTTTTTTTTTCTTTTCTAATCTGTGGGGAATCATTCGTTAATCCATAGGCCTAAAATGGGTGAATGTCTTTTTCTGTCTGTCGGTGTCTGCTTACTGGCGGTCATGCACAGTGACACTCTGATGATACACACGCATACAGTACTAAGGTGGTGTGTGTGTGTGTGTGTGTGTGTGTGTGTGTGTGTGTGTGTTGTGTGTGGTGTGTGTGTGTGTGTGTGTGTGTGTGTGTGTGTGTGTGTGTGTGTGTGAAAGTGCGTGTATGCGTGTGTGGAGTGCGTATCGTAGAATCTCCTCAAGCTGTGCAGAACACAAATGCCCCCTGTTCCCCGCGTAGAAGGATAATCCGTTGATTTCGTGCTCCTCTCCCAATTCTCTTTTACCAGGTTATTCGATGCTCCTGCTTCAGAGTTGTCCTTTGTTCTTTGCATGGAAAAACCAGGGCCACTAATAACAGGAGTTTAAATAATAACCCCTGACAATTAATCGCCAACGGATACATGGGGAAGGGATATCCGTTTACTGTGCACATTAAATAAACGAAGTCAGAGCGCGAATTTCTGTTGCAGATAAATTGCAAAACCTTAACTCAAGACTTACGTACATTATATATGACACTATATGTTGTGCTGTATGCTTTAAGTATACAAAACTACCCTAAAAATGCGCTGTATATGTTAAGAGAACGGCAGAACGCATGTTATACACACCGTTACGTGCGGCATATACATTATATTTGAATGCAAATAAAAAAGAAAAAATGCATATTACAACCACCACCAAATTAGGCCAGATGAATGCAAATGAAGGTAGATGAACGAACAGTCAACTGAACATTTCAGCAAAGGTCACCCAAGGAAAAAAATCAGCTGATGCTGGCTGGAACATGGCAAACAATAAGCAACAACAAACAACAAAACTCACGTACACGTAACGCTCAATAATCCTTTGGCCAGATGCGCTGTCACTCAGGACATGATGTACCCGATTACTCATTTTTCTCATTGTGTCACGTGAGGCGTCCGCGGCGACAAAACTGCGCCGAAACTGCGCATCAAAGCTCGAGGATCACGTGTCGGCGAAAGATGGAAGGAGGAAGTGTCACACTACTCCGCCTCCTCTGAGGAAGGCGCAGCAGGTGGACAGGAAGGATCTTCGTCGGCGGCGCTTTTCACGTCAGCACGAACTTGGAATAAACATATATGCATGCGCATACCCCCCCCCTCTCTCTCTCTCTCTCTCTCTCTCTCTCTCTCTCAGCTCTCTCTCTCTCTCTCAGACTCTCTCTCTCTCTCTCTCGACTCTCTCTCTCTCTCCTCTTCTCTCTCTCTCTCAGACTCTCTCTCTCTCTCTCTCTCAGACTCTTCTCTCTCTCTCTCTCTCAGACTCTCTCTCTCTCTCTCTCAGACTCTCTCTCTCTCTCTCTCAGACTCTCTCTCTCTTCTCTCTCTCAGACTCTCTCTCTCTCTCTCTCTCTCAGACTCTCTCTCTCTCTCTCTCAGACTCTCTCTCTCTCTCTCTCAGACTCTCTCTCTCCTCTCTCTCTCAAACTCTCTCTTTCTCTCTCAAACTCTCTCTCTCTCTCTCTCTCAAACTCTTCTCTCTCTCTCTCTCTCAAACTCTCTCTCTCACTCTCTCAACTCTCTCTCTCTCTCAACTCTCTCAACTCTCTCTCTCTCTCTCTCAACTCTCTCTCTCTCTCAAACTCTCTCTCTCTCTCTCAACTCTCTCTCTCTCTCTCAAACTCTCTCTCTCTCTCTCTTCAAACTCTCTCTCTCTCTCTCAAACTCTCTCTCTCTCTCTCAAACTCTCTCTCTCTCTCTCTCTCAAACTCTCTCTCTCTCTCTCTCTCAAACTCTCTCTCTCTCTCTCTCTCAAACTCTCTCTCTCTCTCTCTCTCAAACTCTCTCTCAATCTCTCTCTCAATCTCTTACAATCACACACACACACATGTATATATACCATATCAGTATTAAAACAGCCTCAACCAAGTATCGTATGGGAGGAAAAACAGCCGAATATCGCCCACCTATTCGTCTAAATATATCTTGGTCGTGAGAGTAACTTAATCTGGAAGAAGTTAAGCCCTGTTGGCATGGCTGAACCTATTCTAGCGCGGCCTTAGTAGCCAGCAACGCGAAAGGCTATTCACCATTACGCCGAGGGATTACCCCCTGATGCACATACACATCACATACATACGCACAGCGCGCGCCACTCACACACTCACACTCTGCCTCTCTCACTATAGGGTTACATATATATATATATATATATATATATATATATATATATATATATATGTGTGTGTGTGTGTGTGTGTGTGTGTGTGTGTGTGTGTGTGTGTGTGTGTGTGTGTGTGTGTGTGTGTGTGTGTGTGTGCGTGTGTGCGCCGCGTGTGTGTGCAATACATATAAATATACAAATCAGACATATATTGCATTTACAATAATACATATACAACATTAACTACCCCCGCCGGATACCAGTAGGTACCAAGGCCCTCTCTCATGCGCGCCCAACCCTGAGCGGCGGCGCATGGCTCGCCCGAACGCCAAACAGACCAGTCACGGTGAGGCGCCCGCCCTGAGAGACCATGGCAACAATCTCAGCCCCGCCTTTAATCCTCGCTTAGCTAACGCACTAACTCTTTTTCGAAGTTTAAAAGGCATTTTTTTCTCATGAAGCGGGTGGCTAAATAACCTTTAATGACATGCGGCTCATGAGCAGTACATGATTGTCTCTCTCCGTCATGCAACATCAGTGTGAGCATTAAATCGGGTTTTGTTTACATACGCTAAAGCAAGTAAACAACTTGCATTGACCACTAGCGCGCTCGCGTATGCATGTGCGTGAGCGACTGTGTATCTGTGTCCATGGGTGCGTGCGTAGGCTTGTATATGTGTGCTTGTATATGTGTGTGTGCGTGCATTTATACGTCAATGTGTACCTGTGTATGGCGTCTATACGTCAGTGTGTACCTGTGTATGTGCGTCTATACGTCATTGTGCACCTTTGTATGTGCGTATTAAAATGTGTAAATACATATGTGTATGTACATATAACTATGTGCATATGATGAGTAGCTCCTTATGTGTGTATTTATATGCAAGTGTAAATGTATGTTTGTGCGTATGTTTATGTGCACGTGTATGCGTGTGGGCGTACATGCATGCGCGTTTCCACATTTCTAGTGCAATTTAGCATCCCTGCCACCCCATTATTTAACAATAAACATCCATCTACTTAACTCCAACGCCAATGCCGGAATTGAATCGAAACATCCCAAACGAAGATGATCAAGCACGCGACAAACACACTCAACCAGCGAGACCCTAACATGGACTCGACTTAACTCCCTCTCGCCAAAACAGAGAAGAAAACCCTGAAGTTAACTGTCGTTTTCTACATAACATCGTCCTTGGTAATACAGTCGCCTACAGGTGAAAACATAACAAAGCGTCTGATCAATGAAAACATTCTTTCTTTTTCGCTAACTGTAAACACGCGATTGTAATACAGATCTAAGAATTGTTCAATAAAAAATATAAAAAATATGGAAATACAAATACATTATACGCAACAAAAAGCAACGAAAATACAAATACATTATAGATGTAAAATCAAAATACATTATACATAACAAAAAAAATACAGAAAAATAAAAATACATTAAAAGCAACGGAAATACAAATGCACTATGTAAAGAAAATACAAATACATTATACGCAACAAAAAGCAACGAAAATACAAAT